CAGAAGTGACGCACGTGGAAGCGCAGCGGAGAGATCATTTGCTCCTGTTGACAAACGTTGGTTTGCACGAGACTCACCGGCGCATGCGCAACGCTGACCTCATACGTCATCAGCCATGTACATGCTTCCGTGTACAACAGTTGGAGCAAGTTACATTAAAGTGATTATTAGTGTTTAGAATATGGATATTTTTCGTACAAAAATGCATCGATTCGCTACAGGAGGCCTTTGTTCACCCCCCGGAGCCGTGCGAGACTTTTTTTTAATGGATGGGCGCTTTTTATTTAACTTCTTTTGGACTGATGCATGCAACACCCGCTGAGTGGCATTAAACAGCTTAAAAGATCAAAGACCATTTTTTATATAACTCCGACTGGATTCGTCAGAAAGAAGAGACTCATATACACCTAGGATGACTTGAGGGTGAGTAATTCATGGGCTAATTTTCATTTTTGGGTGAACTAACCCTTTAAGCGGCTGTTGGAAATGTTCTTCAATGCTGTTTCCAGAATAGCAACACCTGCAGATCCACATGTTGTACCCAGTGAAAACAAGCAGATAAAGTCATGCTATCAGTCCAGCCTTGTCCATGTAAATAGTGTGCATTATTATCTCAGCCTTCACTACAGTGCAAGGTTTCACAGTGTGTGCCAAAAAAAATGAGTGGAGGTCAGCTTTGTCTGCCCTACCTTGGGCTAAACAATAAGCACAACATATGCTAGTATAAAAATAAAATACCATCTAATTTAATGTGTTTATCATTTGCTGTGAGATATGACAGATCACTTGTTAATTGTGTGCATTGGTTACTCACCTGAACCGCAGACAACAAAGACGAAGAGCGCCAAGAGCCATGGTCCCACAGAAACTTTATCATCACTGACGTTTTTCTGCGTGAATTGATATTAAAATCAGTTGCAAATGCCCATTTTAGTTGTCATTTAATTGTAGTAGTGTAGTGGGACTTAGCAATAAAAGTGTATATATACATTGCAGTATTAAGAACCACTATTTTACTGCAAAACTAGTCATTCCTTATATTAACAGTTTAATCAAACGTCTTACTTTTAAATCAGTTAAGTTAATGCATTACATGAAGTTAATTTCACTTTTGTTGATACACCATCGAACATCATGAAGAGCTGTCTTACCGATGACTTGACGTTGCCTCTCTGGGTGATGTTTTTGCTGTGTTTCTCGTTGGCCATACGAATCCTCTGTTTGGCGACCATCGTTGCAAATGCTGGTGGGTTGTAAAAGTGAGCTGGTCACAAATATAACGAACACAAGCTAGTGAGGACGAAGCCAAAACTACGTCGATTTTTACCCCTGATCAGTGCTACGTCCTCAGAATGTAAGCTCCGCCCACACCGGAAGAACGCAAAAGGACTGAAGCTCGGACCGCCCAGCTTTTTGAAAAAACGAGAACATTATATATCCTCCTGACAACCAGAAATAAAAAACGTTGTGAATTTAGTATTTCATCATGTCGTTACATTGTTTAGAGCATAAGGAAAAAATGGTCAAATAACATTTTTGAAAAATTACATTTTATTCATAAGTTATGCTACGTCCTCTGTAGAGGACACCAGGACTCAGTTTTTCTAAAAATAAAATGACAAGAGTAGACACGAAAAGGCAAAAACAATGGGATTTATTTTTAAATCCCCAATCAATTTTTAGGTTTCAGGATTTTTTATGACTAACTTTGTTTAAGGATGGTTCTCAACTATGTTA